AGAAATGGTGACTTGTTCTACATCTACCGCGGTCTCACATCCTTTAACTATCTGCCCCTGGTGTCAGGACAGGGTCAAGAAGACCGGAGGCGGGATCAGGCGCTGGTGGCTAGTGTGACGCGAGCTTGTGCTAGGCGTGACCTCATTGTAGCATGTTTATGGGTGCGCGAATCCAATAACACCTGCTGTGTCCTGATCTGGCCGTCATGTTGGTCCAGCACATCTAGAATGTGACCTGTTGTGCAGACACCAAGATAGAGGCTGAAGCCCCCCTACGCGTGCTATTTACTGCGGGCTAGAAATGAGAACTATTGGAAGCATAATTCCCCTGTTCCTGTGTTGTCATCCAACAATTCCCCTTGTCATGCGTCCCTTGACCCGTTCGGTGCATTCACATTTTCTGATCCCCTCTCATTTTTTTTCAGTGCCGTCGGTCTTCGTTCGCTTATAAACCGACAGCCACAGGTTGGTATCATTGGGAAAACTATTCGTCTTATTACCTCGCGTATATAAATATATATGTCCACTGTTTTTAACTCTATCGTGTTCTATTACACTGAAAATAAATACAGAACCAGAAAGAATATCCCAGCTGTTTTTGGACTCAAACTCTGACATCGGGTGCGTCTGCTCTGATGAACAAGCCAACATTTGATCAGGAAAGTCCAAACAGTATTAACGCATAAACCCCAGCTTCAACTCAATAACAGCAGTTAATGCTCAAGCAACAGGGAGGAAACAAATAGAAAAAATTGATAACGATTCCTTATGTGTAACAGCATGTAGTTTGCTGTGCGTTAATAAATAATTATTTCTTTGTAGCACGCCTATTCACTTGTGAACGTATTCAGCATTTACCAATCCATCGCAATCCTAACATGGAAATATTTATCGTCATGCAGTTATTTGTAGTTTTGTTAGATGCTTGTTTTCCTGGCAGTTACAACCAGCTGGTGGGAGGCACACCTCTTCCGCAATAGGGCAGTGGGTATGGTTATCAGTGGTATGCAGAGGTGGTGGTTGACAACAAACTTAGGCGTCAGTCATCTTTATTATGTCCACCCCGGTCCTAGTGGCTTTACGTTCTTATTGGAGCCCGTTGAGAAGAAAGAGTAGAAAATAGACGTAGCGTAGGCCTGTCCAATTATAAATTACACACCAAGGCCGAGCCCAGCACATAAAGCAGAGGCTAATTACTTATGTCCCGATGGTCGTACTGTCATCTCTTTTCAAATTCATTCCCGTTGGTATGCTTTTTCGAAATTTTGTTTACTAGAGATTCGTAAATCCCGGTAAAACGGCCCTTTCCATTGGTTTGAAAATATGCAGGCGGTCAACAATGAAATTGTCGCCTCTGTCTGCCATTTAGCTCCTCGAGTGCTGGTGAAAATAGGGACATACTAGCGCGACAGGTTCTAGAAGAACTACCAATTGTTGACGTGGAATCGATCTACCGAGTGTTGTTGGTTAAGCAGGTGTGTCCTTATAGGGCATTGACCTCCCCCTCGGCCTACCGCTTAGAGGCAAAATACAGAAGGTATTTACCCCGTCTCACAACCAGAAAACATCGGGTAAACGCCACTCTCATGCTAAAGCAGGGTTCTTTGCATTTCCATGCCTACAGCAGTACTGAAATATAAATATATGTGGAAGGTTGCACAACAAATCATGCCACTTGACGTGCTATCTTGGTCTGTCGACAAACCTGTCACTTCGGCCGCGGGTTGCAGTTGCCTCAAGCACGTCTGCGAGGACCCTTACTGGAGGACACAGCCACGCGCTTCAACACAGCAACAAAACATTAGAGCCTAGCAGCTGGGAGAAAACGAAGCTAGATATTTACTTCTTTGTAGTCAGTCTGTTGTCTTATTAACCAATTTAGCATTTACCAATCGTTGCAATCCCCACACGGAAACCGTAATCGTCCTGTTACTTTCGAATGAATGCGGCGATAGGACTGGCGTTCTGACTTGTTCAACTGCTTTTCAGGATGGGTTGAGAAGGTGTCGACTGCATCACTGGCCTTAACGGTCCTGGGAGGGAGGCAAGCTTAGGATGCAGCATTCTTGACTCCTATTGACTGTATTCGTTATTTTAACCATCGCGCACCAATATTAAGTTATTTAAATAATTATTCCTTTCATGTTTACTTTCATACGCTCTACTTTTTTCATTTCTTGTTTATTTCCTCTTATTTGCCTCACTCATTGTACTCCGTTTATCACGTATCCCGTATTATACCAACGGGAGGTTTTCTGTTACTGTTGTGTCACCTATAAGGAATCGTTGCCAAAACCTTAGTTAAAACGGCTTCTATAGATTCCCCAGAGCTGAACAGCAAGCAAAAAGGGGGCGATGAATTTCGGAGAAGGGAGGACCACGACGATAAACACAAGACAGACCCCATTCATGGCGACTGCTGCTGCGAGAGGGAACGGCGCCAGTTTGCGCTTGCGATAGAAGATCATGGCACCGCGGGCTGCTCGTAGCGTCTTGTGGGTGGTTGTGGTGACAATGTCCACGTACTCGAAAGGTGAGGGATGCAGGCCGGTTGCTATCAGACCACTGATGTGTGCCTGAGGGCAGGAAGAAAAGGAAGTAGAAGAAAGCGGGGTGTCTGTGAAAATCTAAGAAGAATCGAGAGTAAAGCGAGGGCCACTAAGGGGGCGGGGGATTGCAAAAGTACCATGTCTGCCATGATGATGGCCCCCACAGAGTCGGCAATCTGACGAAACCTCGCGTAGTCCAGGTGCCGGGAATAGCCACATGTGCCTGCAACAATTAACTTTGGTCTGAAGACTTTCGCCGTGGTGGCGAGTGTGTCGTAGTCAATCAGACCGGTTTCCTTGTCAACGCAGTAGCGCTTGGACTCGAAGAAGGCGCTGGTGGCAGAAGCCTAAATTGGGATCAAGAGAAGAAGGGAAGGGATGCTCACAGAGATGCCA